ACGTCTCCAGATAATTTGAATTCTTAGTATTTATCACCACATGTGAAACTATTCGCGGTGAAGTGAAAGGCTGATTATTCAGATTTTCTTTTTTGAGGTGTTGGTTCCCTGTGAGATCCCTAATATCCAGTAAGTTTCATTTATATTTGTGACGTATATGTATAACTTGAAACACGTGTATTTTGTTAAATTCTATTGTCAGTTTGAGATGCTTTTCTAATTTTTCTCGCAGTTCTGTGTTAAGGTTGTCTTTCCACTCAATGCTCTACGTAATAATTTTTTTTAAAATTATCCCTACTGTGGCTCAGACTAACATAAGTACAGTGATTTACCAAAGTAGAGATAAAGTTTACTTAAAAGTCTTTGTAGTGTTGAATTTGTTGTGTCTATACTTTTTGTGGCATTAAATCTTTTTATACAACTATAGCTAGCTGGGTTACGTATAGATCGATCCCCACTTGTATTTATAAAATTTAATTTTTTTTATACTTATTTGTTTCCTTTTTATTTGTTATATTTTTGTGCGCCAACAATACCAAGCGTGGGATGCGCTTATACCTGATTCAGTTTTATTACTCATCAGAATCTCTACCGATCTACCTTCAAACCTAATTATATGCTCAGCGATAAGATTCGTCATTTTCTTTGTACGCTTGTCTGGAAAAGTCGCTTACTTAAATGAAAATTCGTCGAAATAGTGAAATTTTGATTCACACCCTAAACACGTATATAGCGATATAAGCAGCTGTATAAGTACAGTAAGCTTTAGTTTTGCTCAATCAGTACTGTGAAATAACTATTGTTAATATACAGGTATTTTAAAGGCGATTTTAAACGGGCGATTTTTATGGCCGCCATTTTGTTTCTCACGATCCCTAATATTAAGTACTACCTACTTAGTGATTAAGACTGATACATCAGACGCTCCTGGAACCAGTTTTATAATATTGTCCATTCGGATTGCTTTTGCATCGAAATTGATTGGTTTTAGTTTCTCTGGTCGAGTTGTCGAGAAGACATTCAGTGCGTTTTCGTTTAGATGTAGGCTTCAATGTTTTTAATCTCTCTATTACACGAGATTTATTTTAGTGCAGAAATGAAAGCTCTAACATGAAAAACTGTGATCCGAATCTAGAACAGGACATACTGAATTACTCATTTCAACGAAAAAACCTTATCAGTGCACATTTTGACACTTTGCTCTGTTTTCAGGATCTGGCAAACCCGACTTATCCCCTGTACCCTGAACAAAGCCCTTAAAATTATTCTCTAAATTTTCAACGTGTCAGAGGCAGATTCAACAACGAAACCCAATAGTCGCTATACACTTTCTTTTATTCAGATTCTATCCCCAATTATTTTCTAATTTTTGCTGATTTTCCTTCTTCATGACGCACAATTCTTCCCAACTTTTCAAAATTATTCCCGTACATTTTTAGTACTTATTTGAAAGAATATTTATTCCTTGGGGTCGATTGGCCTTTTGCGCATCAGTTAATTATAATCAAAATATTATTTCAAAATACATAAATAATAATAAAAAAAAATCCTTTATGTTAGACTTGTAAGGGTAGAATTTCTCAACCTTTTTTCTGCTCGTGACTCCATTTTGTGTTTGATTTATCTCTGTGGCCCCACCCTTCGTAGATGCTGTTACTTAGAAAAAAACATACTTTATTTCCAAACTGTTGATTTATAATATTATAATATATTTTTTTACAATATTGTATTGTTTTTAAATATTTTGTTTATAACATACTGTTTACTTTTGCAAGTAAAAATATTCTGTTAATCACTGACATTTTATTCAGTGTGATCCTTGGGCCTGATGAACGCTTAAAAGTTTTGTAATGT